GCCTGGGAAGGAGCGAGTGACTCATTTGAATCAATGAAATAAAACATTTAGGGGCTCACTTGGTTAATCCTCCACCTGCGGCTCCAGAATCCCATATGGGCACCAGGTTCTAGTCTGAGTTGCTCCTCTTCCAGTCCAGCTCTCTGCTGTGGCCTGGGAGGGCAGTGGAGGATGGCCCAAGTGCTTGGGCTCCTGCACCTGCATGGGAGACTAGGAGAAGCACCTGGCTCCTGGCTTCGGATCGGCACAGCACCAGCTATAGCAGCCATTTGGGGGGTGAACCAATGGAAGGAAGACCTTTCTCTCTGTCTCTTTCTCTCACTAACTCCGTCAAATGAAAAAAAAAATGAAACATTTAATAGACAGTCCCTGATGTATCTGTCTTACTAGCATAGTAGCTGATAAGAACCTGTATTCAATACTGCAGTTGTATAGAGGAGCTTTACCTTCCTGGGTCCCTGAGTTCCTATTTTTTTTTCTCTTTTTTTTTGAATTTTTAGGGGCAAATGTTGTAGCATTGCACATTAAGCTGCCACCTACAGTTCTGGCATCCCATATGGGCACTGGTTTGAATCCTGGCTGCTCCACTTCTGATCCAGTTCACTGCTAATGTGCCTGGGAAAGCTGTGGAAGATGGCCCAAGTCCTTGGGCCCCTGCTACCCACATGAGCGATCCAGAGAAGCTCCTGACTCTTGGTTTCATCCTGGCCCAGCCCTGGCTGTTGTGGCCATTTGGGGAGTGAACTAGGGGATGGAAGATTCTCTCTCCCCCCCGCCACTCTTTCTTTTATATTTATTTATTTGACAAGTAGAGTTATAGACAGTGAGAGAGAGAGACAGAGAAAGGTCTTCCTTCCATTGGTTCACCTCTCAAATGGCCACTACAACCGGCGCACTGCGCCGATCTGAAGCCAGGAGCCAGGTGCTTCTCCTGGTTTCCCATGCGGGTACAGGCCCATACATGGGCCATCCTCCACTGCCTTTCTGGGCCACAGCAGAGATCTGGACTTGAAGAGGAGCAATCAGGACTAGAATCCAGCGCCCATATGAGATGCCGGTGCCACAAGGCGGAGGATTAACCAAGTGAGCCACAGTGTCGGCCATCTCTCTCTTTCTTTCTCTCTCTCTCTCTCTCTTTCTCTCTCCCTCTCTTTCTGTAACTCTGACTTTCAAATAAATAAATAAATAAATCTTTTTTTAAATGTATTGATATAAAAAGAACAGATTTCATGTATTTCGTAGGTGCAATTCTAAGAAGATAACCAAATTTCCTTCACTCACTCTCTCTCTCTCCTTCCTTCAATCCCCCTCTTTCCTTCCTTTTTTTGTTCTTTAATTTTGCAAAAACATAATTTCCATCCACTTTGTAATCACAAGCAGAGCTACCAGACAACTCATGTGGGACAGCGAGTAGAAGCAAGAAAGGCACAGTTACAGAGAGAGCGTGAGGGAGACAGACAAAGAGATCTTCCATATGCTAGTTTGCTCCCCAAATAGCTTCCGTGATCAACTGGGGCTGGGACAGGACAAAGCCAGGAGCCAGGAGCTTCATCTGGGTCTCTCACACGGTGTAGGGGCCTAAGCACTTGGACCATCTTCTGCTGCTTTCCTAGGTGCATTAGCAGAGAGCTGGATTGTAAGTGGAGCAGCTGGGACATGAACTGGGACCCATAGGGGATGCCAGCATTGCAGGTGGCAGCTTTACCTGCTATGCCACAACTCCAGCTCTGAGACAAACTCTTGTTATGTCAAATCACTGAGGAGTTAGGGTTGTTTTTTCTGCAACATCACTTAGCATAATATGTGCATTGATATTTTAATTATTAATATAAATCACATACCACTTTGAGACTGGGTTTCCTTTTGATGTTTGACAACAATCATATGAGCTGTAGGATTTTAATTTTCCCTGAAACTTGCTATTATCCTTAAAGTCCACATTGTAACAGCTTTCACTGACCACATACTATGTGGTAGACATTTTGTAAGCACAGTATGTGACAATCGTATCAAGAAGAAATTCATTTTTCCTTTCAAGAAATTATTTAGCAATTAAGGGCAAAGCACTAAGTTGTATGTCATGTAGCTTAAAATTTTTGAAAACACTCAAATCCTAAAGTATTTCCCAGCTCAATAAAATATTCACTTACACAAATGGCCACAAAGGTAAAGAGAATGTACTGCATCTCAAAAGGACTGCACACTAACTGCACACACACTGGTGGCATCTTACATGGCCTCATGGGGTAGGTGTTTCTCAAATGATATATAGGATTTTAACAGATGAAGTAATCAAGAGTTCTGGTCAGAGAATGAGTACCTGAACTTGCAGAATATTTGAGTACTTATATTAACAAGTGTTCTCAACCTGGTGGAACAATGGAGTCTCCTAGGGAGCATTTAAAAATCCTGATGCCATGAGCCTCCCACCCCAGATCCTGACATAATCATCTTGGGCGTGGCCCTGGGGCATTGGGATTGTTTTAAATCTCCCCAGGTGATCTGTGCACGCATCCAGGGCCAGCTGTTGACCCCTCTAGAAGGTGATTGAAACATTTCAGTTGTGACAGAGGTGAAGTGCTAAGTAGTACACTGATGCAAACAGTAAGGACAGAAAGCAGGGAATGGTGTCATTGACACTGTGAGTCCGAGTCCAGGAGAAAGAGACAATCCTAACAAATCCAGGTGACTCAGAGAAAGGAGCCTGCGTCAGGCAGAAGACAGCAAGTTGAGTTCCGGCTAACTTGGGAAACCAGACACGTGGAAGGATGAAGTAGGCACAATGCATTGCCGTGAGCTTTTCCCCTTGATGAAATCCAGTACAGCACACTTCAGGATTTCTTAAAACTGCTTTTTCTGCTGGGCTTGGAAAGGACTGGCCCTCGGGAGACCTTGGGTTTCATATCATTTGGCCTATTTGTGTGCCAGAGGCTTTTACACAAAGGGGCAAGAAGATGAAGGCTGGGTGAAAAGCATACATTTCTCTGGTAAAGTGCATCAATTTCCAAAGAGGAGTCAGGAAAGGCAAGCTAGCTCACCACACACTTCAGGCAGGGAAACTGCAGAAACTGTGGTTGTAGTTTGCCATCGGAAGAGAGAGTCCTTCAAGGCTGCTCACACCTCCGTGCCCCGTGGAAAACCCTTGTGTATTCCCCACATGGAAGTTTCTTGTTTAGATAAGGCACTGGCAAACTATAGCTTCTGGGCCAAATCTGATTCGTGTCTTGTCTTTGTAAATAAAGTTTTATTGGAATACAGCTATGTTCATTCATTTACATACAGCTGTATTTGCACTCTCACTAGCAAGGCTGTTGTAACAGCAAAATCTACATGGTGTTCAAAGCCTAAAATGCTTGCTCTCTGGGCCTTTACAGAAAAGATTGCTGACTCTTATTCTAGATATTATAAAATTGCAGTAAATGTTCAGATTAGATATAGAGAGCAAGAGAGAGAGAGAAATTCAGATTGGGATGGTGACACTAAAATGTGCTAGTTGGCAGAAAAAAATTTGGGAAGGTTGGGCTGGTGCTGTGGCTCACTTGGTTAATCCTCCGCTTGCAGCACCAGCATCCCATATGGGTGCCGGTTCTAGTCCCTGTTGCTCCTCTTCCAGTCCAGCACTCTGCTGTGGCCCAGGAAGGCAGTGGAGGATGGCCCAAGTGCTTGGGCCCCTGTACCCATGTAGGAGACCAGAAGGACCTGGCTCCTGGCTTCGGATCAGCATAGCTCTGGCCGTGGCGGCCATTTGTGGGGTGAACCAATGGAAAGAAGACCTTTCTCTCTGTCTCTCTCTCTCACTAACTCTATCTGTCAAATAAAAAAGAAAAAAAAAATGGGGACGGTAAAGAAAATGGAAATTGGCAAAAATCTTTCTATCACTATATCTAACATAAAAATGAGGGGTCCATATGATAAACAGTTTAGCTCATGTTACATTTTACAGCCACATTAATTACATTTGAAGGAATTAGGCCTATACGTTATGTTTTAGTCAAGCAGAATGAGCTGTTAGAAACACATGCTGTCATCCAAACCAATAAATGGGTAAATTTCCCAATCACATGGCATTTCCTCTGAAAGTCTGAAAGTAGCAGTTGGCAGTGAATGAGCGCCTTAAGCAGGTTTTAATAATGGTGGATGTCTTCACTAATGCAACTAATTGATTCAGATATGAAATGCAAGCTCAGTAATGCAATCTAAGTGGTATTTAGTTTTCTGATGTGGCTCTGATTTCTTAGAAGACACTAGAGTATGGAGGTGACCTCCATCAATTTTTTTCTTCATTTTTTATCAGAATTTATAGTCACCCTTTCAATGCTTTCTTTCGATTGCCACTGAACCCCCTAACAACATCAGCAACACCAAAAGCAAAAACCACTAGTACTCCATTTATTTGAGCTAATTAACCAGTGTTGAGATAATTTTTAGAAACATTAAATATGACTTTCATGTTCAGGCAGTAAATAGAGCTAGACCTACTATATCTTAGCAGATGGTCTTAGAAAATCTCCTTTAATGTTATAGTTGGATTTACTCCATCACTTATAGCATTATTAACATTTATTAAAGACCTCCTACATATATAATATTGAGTTTATCTGAGTATAGAATGATGCTTTTGAAATTATATCTTTTCAGCTGGCGCCGCGGCTCAATAGGCTAATCCTCCACCTTGCGGCGCCAGCACACCAGGCTCTAGTCCCGGTCGGGGCGCCGGATTCTGTCCCGGTTGCCCCTCTTCCAGGCCAGCTCTCCGCTGTGGCCTGGGAGTGCAGTGGAGGATGGCCCAAGTGCTTGGGCCCTGCACCCCATGGGAGACCAGGAGAAGCACCTGGCTCCTGCCTTCGGATCAGTGCGGTGCGCCAGCCGTGGCAGCCATTGGAGGGTGAACCAACGGCAAAAGGAAGACCTTTCTCTCCGTCTCTCTCTCTCACTGTCCGCTCTGCCTGTCAAAAAAAAAAAATTATATCTTTAAAGTTTTTCCCAGGCAGCTGCTGAAGATGGCAGAGGGGCAGGTCCTGGTGCTGGACGGCCCAGGCCACCTCTTGGGCCGCCTGGCGTCCATCGTGGTCAAGCAGGCGCTGCTGGGCCGCAAGGTGGCGGTCATGCACTACGAGGGCATCAACATTTCCGGCAATTTCTACAGGAATAAGCTGAAGTACCTGGCCTTCCTCCGCAAGCGGATGAACACCAACCCATCCCGGGGCCCCTACCACTTCCAGGCCCACAGCCACATCTTCTGGCAAACCGTGCGAGGCATGCTGCCCCATAAGACCAAGTGGGGCCAGGCTGCCCTGGACCGCCTCAAGGTGTTGGACGGAATCCCGCTGCCCTACGACAAGAAAAAGCGGATGGTGGTCCCCGGGAGGCTCAACGTCGTGCGGCTGAAGCCCACGCGGAAGTTTGCCTGCCTGGGGCGCCTGGCCCCAGGTTGGTTTCTGGAGAAGCTACTATAACCTAGGACTGAGAGAGTGTGTCCACGGAAGAACTCACTAAACAGGCCTGAGAAACAGATCTCACTGAAGAGGGCATGGCTGTGGCTCACTGATTAGCAAGAAGGAGCTGAGGCACTCTGCAAGCAGAATTTTCTGGAAGTCTGTCCTCTGAAATGCTGGGGAAGCCATCATGGGTAAGTGTCTGGCTTTGGAACTCACCAGAAGAGTGTTGGGAGATATTGTTCTTAGCCTGGTGCCTTGCTGGCAGCATCAGAGTCTGAAGTCAACAGAGGAGGTTCCAGAGAAACTTCTGGCTGCTCTGGGTCAAGTTCAGCTGCAGATATGGGGCTCTGTGACCTACTTCCTCTACAAGAGAAAGTGCTGGAGAATCTGTACACTGCACAGGAATTTGACAAGCAGTGCACAGTAAAACTCAGAAAAAGAAACTCCTTTTCATCCAGTGTGAGGACAAACCAATAGGACAACAGGTACCACTGTGCCAGATGACAAAAAAAATACTTGCAAAGTTCACTTTTTTTTAATTTTTTAAATTTATTTGACAGGTAGAGTTACAGACTGTGAGAGAGAGAGACAGAGAGAAAGGTCTTGCTTATGTTGGTTCACTCCCTAAATGGCCACTACAGCAGGCACTGCGCCGATCTGAAGCCAGGAGCCAGGAGCTTCTTCCTGGTCTCCCATGCGGGTGCAGGGGCCCAAGCACTTGGGCCATCCTCTACTGCCTTCCCAGGCCACAGCGGAGAGCTGGACTAGAAGAGGAGCAACCAGGACTAGAACCCAGCGCCCATATGGGATGCTGGCACTGCAGGCGGAGGATTAACCAAGTGAGCCACGGCACTGGCCCCGCAAAGTCCATTTCTATTAGTAGAGAACAGCATGAAAGTAGGGGCACTGGAGAAAGAGGTAACAATCCATCAAGAACTGGCACACTTGACCTTCATAAGTGAGCCTTCAATGTACCATGGATTTTCATCACAGCTGAAATGAGAATTTCATAATCACCCGTTTCTCTGTGTTTTTTGTTTGTTTGTTTTTTGACAGGCAGAGTGGATAGTGAGAGAGAGAGACAGAGAGAAAGGTCTTCCTTTGCCGTTGGTTCACCCTCCAATGGCCGCTGTGGCCAGCGTGCTGTGGCCGGTGCACCGCGCTGATCCGATGGCAGGAGCCAGGTACTTATCCTGGTCTCCATGGGGTGCAGTGCCCAAACACTTGAGCCATCCTCCACTGCACTCCCTGGCCACAGCAGAGAGCTGGCCTGGAAGAGGGGCAACCGGAACAGAATCCGGCACCCCAACCATGACTAGAACCTGGTGTGCCGGTGCCACAAGGTGGAGGATTAGCCTAGTGAGCCGCGGCGCCGGCCAACCCCCGTTTCTCTATGTAACACTCCAAATATGCCTGTAGGACTCTTGGTAGTCATTCACTCAGCAAGCATCAATCAAGTGCCTTTTGTGAACCAGTAGTGTCCTCAGAAGTCAAGAGTAAAAGATAAAAATTTGTAATCAAGGTCATCAAAGATCAACCCAATGAGTTAGAAGGTAAGTGCGTAAGTTAGGGAAACAACGGGCTGGACGGTCCATCAGAGGTGTGTACCCTGGGCCTTGTGAACCAGAGGAGAAGCTGGCAACTCCTTTGTATCTTGGAAGATGACTGGGGGTTTTCCAGGAAGGCAAGAGTGAAACAGCCCCCACTCTGAGGGAGCTGTCCATGCAAATGCTCAAGGTCAGGAAGATAAGGAGTTTTTGGCTGAAGAGCTTGAGATTTCCTGAGACTGCCAGCAGCCAGATTGGAAAGTCCTTGTTTGGACAGAAAAACTAAGTCTTGACTTTAAATATTATCCTTTCTCTGTTTTCTGGAACATTTTTAGAGAAATATGCTACTTTTATTTGTCATCCTGAGGACTTGAAGACAATAAGATGAAATACTTGGATCTTTACTTTTTAGAAGAAATCAGAGTGCAAAAGAGAATAAACAGTATTTAAAAAGAAGTGACTCGTTAGCCTCATGTTCTCTCTCCCCCCTCCCCTCATCACTCCTCTCTCTCTCTTTCTCTTCCTCTCTTCTTTTCTCTTTTTAATTCAAATGTGACTCTGGAGTGCAACCAACATAATATATTGGAGGATTAGAACATCTGAGCCACATCACTGATGAGCTTGCTTTTCATCCAAAGCAAAGGGAAAAATTACTGGTGAGTTAAATGAGTGACTCATGGAAAATGACTGAGCATGTAACATTTGGGTAAATGTGGCATGGCCACTGTACTGAGCTATAATTCAATTTTGAACCACAGTGGAAGCCAATACAATTCCCTGGTATTACAGCTCAGAATTTCAGGAGAGCTGGAGAGCTAGCAAAGGTTGAAGAGGAAAGAAACCCTGAAAGATGGATTTTGATTGTCAGAGAAGGTTCTGTTCCCTTCTTTTCTTGGCTTTAGGGAGAATCTACATCCTGAGAACTTAGTGGCTAGGGAGGAAGCTCTTAGACCTGAAACTCTTATCAGACCTAGAAGTCAGGTCCTGCAACAAATCTTTATCTGACATAGGCGGGTATTGTCTCCAGTACTTCTGCATGGTTTCTGGGAAGGCCCATCTAACCAGCCATAAAGGCAGGCAGGGTTCAAGGCTGATTTTGAGCTATAGCTAGAGCAGGCAATCACTTATATGGTATAGTTTGAAAAACAACCCTTTTCTCACAAACCACTCACTAGAATAAATATGCTATCCCACTTCCTGGCATTTCACCATATCACACATTTCTTTATGTATGCTATAAAAATAGATTGTGTGATTGGGTTAAACTACTGCCCTCTAAAGAGATCCCCTACTCCAAAATACAAAAAAAAAAAAAAAAAATCCACATATCTCTAAAAGAGCTAGCAATGGCTTACTGGGCATGTACTAATTCACACTTTGTCTAAATTGCTTTTTAAAATGCTCATTTAGCCGGTGCCGCGGCTCACTAGGCTAATCCTCCACCTTGTGGCACCGGCACATCGGGTTCTAGTCCCGGTCGGGGCGCCAGATTCTGTCCCGGTTGCCCCTCTTCCAGACCAGCTCTCTGCTGTGATCAGGGAGTGCAGTGGAGGATGGCCCAGGTGCTTGGGCCCTGCACCCCATGGGAGACCAGGAGAAGCACCTGGCTCCTGCCATCGGATCAGCGTGGTGCACCAGCCGCAGCGCGCTGGCCACAGCGGCCATTGGAGGGTGAACCAGCGGCAAAGGAAGACCTTTCTCTCTGTCTCTCTCTCACTATCCACTCTGCCTGTCAAAAAATAAAAAAATAAAAAATAAAAAAATGCTCATTTAGTTATTAATTTAAATTATTTTAAATAATCCGTTTGCCCAATGAAAGAACGAATGCACAGAGAGGTTAATTTTCCTGTTGAACGTGATACTTGCAGGCAGCCTGGCTTTGCTGTCCCAAGGTCTTCTACTGACTGTTCACTTGCCACTAGGAACTTCATTAGAGTTGTGTTGTAAACAAGACCATGAGGTAAGCACTGCTCTAAGCATTTGATACACATTATTTCATGTCTTCTTCAAGTCTAACATCTTCTAAGATAGAAAAAAAATCAGATGTATTTTATGAGAGGTAAAGCTGAGGTGCAGAAAAGTGAAGAAATGTTCCAAGGAACTCTGTTATTAAGGGCCACAGCCCACTTGGCATCTAGTTCTGTCCAGTTCTCAATCCCACAACTAGAGCAGCTTTCTCAATTCTTCCAACCACTGACCACTCACCGCTAGGTATCATACACATTTTCGCCATATGTATTCTTATGCTGACCATTTTATGGAATTTTATTTTTTTAATGTTCTTAAAGATTTTTTTTTATTTATTTGAAAGTCAGAAATACAGAGAAAGAGAAAGAGAGAGAGATCTTCCATCCATCCTCTGGTTCACTCCACAAATGCTGCAACATCCAGGGCTGGGCCAGACTAAAGCCAGAAGCCAGGAGCTTCTTCTGGGTCTCCCATATGGGTGCAGGGCTCCAAGCACTTGGGCCATCTTCTGCTACTTTTCCAGGTGCTTTAGCAGGGAGCTGGATATGAAGCAACAGGGACTCAGACTGGCACCTGTATGGTCACAGGCTGTGGCTTTACCAGCTATGCCATAATGTAAGCCCCATGAAATTTTCAGATGTAGAGTAGCAATGAAGTTGGAAATGGGGAGCAAAAGACTTTTCTTAAAGGTATATTTGCATAACAAGCCCATTGTGTTTGGTGGGACTGATCTCAATTCTGGGAGGGAGGTTAAAATACCACTGAAGCAATCTCTTAGTAGCTCCATATTTTTAGAATGCTCCTCCCTGTATCCCCTTTCTTTCTAGTTGAGGGCAATTTTCCATCTCCCATCAAGCAATTTTGACCTCTTTACTTCAAGATACCTACTCCTCTTATGAATGCATAGATTTTATTGATAAACCCATCAATTTGAACACTATTCTGCATGTAGAAAAAGAGAAGAGAATAGCTTTTCTTTAAGATTTATTTGTTTTTATTTGAGTCAGAATTACAGAAAGGAGAGAGACAGAGAAAGAGAGAGAAAAAGAGAGCTTCCATCTGCTTGTCCATTCCCCTTATGACTAGAATGGCCAGGGCTGGGCCAGGCTGAAACCAGGAGCCAGGATCTTCTTCTGCTTCTCCCATGCAGGTGCGGGGAGGACCCAAGGACTTAGGCCATCTTCCATTGCTTTCCCAGGCACATTATCAGGGAGCTGGATTGGAAGTGAAGCAGTAGGGACTCGAACCAGCACCCATATGGGAGCCGGCACTGCATATAGTGGTTTAACCTGCTACACCAGAGCAGCAGCACCCATCGAATAACTTCTAAAGTATCTACTAACTATTGGGTGAAATGCTGTGTTATACGGATCTGAATCTCATGGATTCTACCACATTAACATCTCTCATATCTGATGCTCCTCACAATTCATTGTCTGACACTTTCTGTCATTCAAGCAGTAGTCATGACACAATAATCATTGTTCAGTTGTTATCCTCTGTGGTAGAAGGGCAGGACAATTCCAACCCCTGGACACACAACACAATTTACACTTAAGGGCCAAGTGAAGCATGGAAGGAAATTCTGATTGGTTTTTGGAAAGGTTTTTTGACACCTCAGTATCACAACTTGAACCATGAGTAGGAGCATCATGGGAGAAATCTCACACATGAATAGAACATTCTTTGAGGAACTGCTATATCATCATTGCCACCTCAGGCCTAGGGGATGATGCTGTAGGAGAAGCACAGAGGTCAACACCTATGAGACAAAAAGTAGCAGTGAAAGGTCAGATATGCAGGAGTCCAGGAATGTGTAACATACTTACTCTTCTCTTCTATATTTTCCTTTTATGTAGGCCAAGAATCATACTTCTTCCTAAGTGAGCAAAAACAACAACAACACTACTTTCAATCAGTGATATGTTAGATTTTGCAACTGTCTTAGTGGAGGCTGCTAAATTGCCACAGTGTGGATGCCTTAAAGAACAAGGATTTATTTCTCATACTTCTAGATGATGAGAAGACCAAGATCAAGGTGCCAGCAGGTCCGGTGTCTTGTGAAGCCCTGTTTCCAGGTTTGTATATGGCTATTTCAGGCAATCAAAGCCAAAATTGACAAGTAGAATTACATCAAAATGAGAAGCTTCTGTACTGCACAAGAAACACTCAGGAAAATGAAGAGGCAACCGACAGAATGGGAGGAACTATCTGCAAACTATGCAACTGATAAAGGTTTAATAACCAGAATATATAACGAGATCAAGAAACTCCACAACAAAACAAACAATCCAGTTAAGAAATGGGCAAAGGACTTAAGCATCTTTCAAAACAGGAAACCCAAATGGCCAAAAGACACGTGAAAAATGCTCAGGATCACTAGCAGTCAAGAAAATGAAAATCAAAACCACAATGAGGTGTCACCTCACCCCAGTTAGAATGGCTTTCATACAGAAATCAATAAACATCCAATGTTGGCAAGGATGTGGGGGGAAAGGTACCCTAATACACTGTTGGTGGAAATGTAAACTGGTAAAGCCACCTTGGAAGACAGTTTGGAAATATCTCATAAATCTTAATATAGACCTACCATATGACCCAGCCATCCCACTCCTGGTAATTTACCCAAGGGAAATGAAAGCAGCATATGAAAGAGTTATCTGCACCCCCATATTTATTGCAGCTCAATTCACAACAGTTAAGACATGGAACCAACCCAAATGCCCATCAACTGGAGATTGGATAAAGAAATTATGGGATATGCACTCTGCAGGATACTATACAGCAGTAAAAAGAAATGAATTCCTATTATTTGCAACAAAATGGATGAAACTGGAAAACATCATACTTAGTGAAATAAGCCATTCCCAAAAAAACAAATACCATATGTACTCTCTGACTTGTGATAACTAATAGGATTCCTAGAAGGTAATCAATAGAAGTGAAATTGACACTTTGAGAAGCAACAACTGTGAACAATCCTTGTCTTGATTGTTGAGGAACAGCTTTTTTTCCCCATACTATTTGTTGTACTCTTTACTTAACACAGAGTTAATCATATGTGTATAAAGTTAATTGAAAGTAGATCTTAGTAAAAAAAAAAAAAAGAATAGGAATAGGAGAGTGAGGAGGAGGAGAGGTGGGAAAGTGGGTAGGAGGGCAGGTATGCAATCACCATGTTCCTAAAGTTGTGGTTATGAAATGTATGAAGTTTGTATTCCTTAAATAAAAAGTATTTGGGAGGGAAAAAGTAAATGGCTGTCCTCTTGCTGTGTCCTGATATGGTAAAGAGTAGAGTGAGAACAAGCTCAGTGCCTCTTCTGATAGGGCGGTTAATTTCATCATGAGGGCTCCCCCCCACCTTCCTGAACCAAAAGCCCCACCTCCAGATCCCATCACCTTGGGAATTGAAATTTCAACATACAAATTGGGAAGGATAGGAGCCGGCACTGTGGCACTGTGGGTTAACGCCCTGGCCTGAAGTGCCGGAATCCCATGTGGGCACCAGTTTGAGACCCGGCTGCTCCACTTCTGATCCAGCTCTCTGGTATGGCCTGGGAAAGCAGTAAAAGATGGCCCAACCCTTGGACTCCACACCCACGCGGGAGACCTGGAAGAAGCTCTTGGCTCCTGGCTTCAGATCAATGCAGCTGTTACGGCCAATTGGGGAGTGAACCCTCTCTCTTTCTCTCTCTCTACCTCTCCTTCTCTCTGCGCAACTCTGACTTTCAAATAAATAAATAAATCTTTAAAAAGAAAAAAACAAATTGGGAAGGATAGATTCAGCCCACAGGAGAAAAATATGCTATACATATTTTAATCTTCATGATGACACTAACAGGCAGGTAGGTATCATTGTTTTCAGTTTAGAGAAGCAATAGAGACTGCCTAGTGAGTCCAGTCTGAGCCTATGCTGTGTCAGACCTTGTAGTCCTGCTTTTTCATCACTCCATGTGGCCCTTACAATGCCTGGAGATCAGCCAGTTATCAGTTTTGTGCATTTCACTGGCCTGGGTTTCAGTTTCCAGTTCTATAAAATGGAGATGAAAAAACCTACAGTACAGAGTTGCTGGGAAGATTAAATGGGATCAGATTTCACATCCTTTCAAACCTGTAGCTTTGGGAGACACCAGCCTTATCATGCCACATGGGAACTCTTGAAATGCCTGCCTTTTGTTAGATCCTCATTAGACATTTTCTCATGTGAATGTTCAATCTCAGCTAGATGGTCAGCACTTTGAGGACAGGAATTTGCTTTTGAAATAAATCTGAATTGCTTACAGCATACTATGCACCCGACTGGCATTGCATGAATGTTTGTCTAAATGAACAAGAAGCATTTGAGAAGTTGTGAAGCGTTCAATGCTACTGATGTTATTGCCTGTGAACCTGTTGGAACAGAGGACAGGCTGGGAACAGCATATGTTGGTGATGATTTGGCTGCAAAAAGAGTGAGACTTTTTAATAAAACTGCACTAGACCACATTTTCTCCCAAGATGATATTTATGACATTTTAGGTAGCAGGAGATGAAGACTCTTGTGAGAGGAAATAATGGAATAGGAGATAGAACAAAGAGTTGGAAACACTGATTTTTTTTTTTAAGACTGTGTGACTAGGGGAGAGTGCCACTTGCTCTGTGATTCATGACTTTCTGTCGTGTATTGAGTCATCTGAGACTATAGAGAAGGAGCTTTTGTCCTTAGGAAGCAATTTTCAGTCAAGTTCCAAAATCATGTCAAATAATTATCTTTTTAAATACATGTTTATGTATTGTAATTAACTCTAGAATCAGTGTTTCTAATCCCCAGTGCCTCAGAAATTCCCTGGTACTAAGTTAGTTATTTAGGGAAGGGCATTCATTATGGGCCTGTAAATTTTATTTAAAATTGAGCCGTCTTCCTGCTGTTTGTTTAACAGTCCCTGTGTTCTGTGTGGGGAAGTAATGCGTCTCCCCAAATGCACCTAACTCACTACCAGTGGATGAGTAGGACACAGGGGCCTCCATATGAAATACCAAGAAGAAATTTGTGTCTACGGACACATGCTGACAGTGCAGAATTTTTTTATAGCCAAAATATATGTGATTTTGCCTTCTGGAGCTCCTCAGCCCAACTTAAGACCCATTCCACAGAGAGGGTGCCTTGAAGCTCACATTCTTGGTTGCTGAATCAAGAGTCTCCGCAATTGTTCCCATTTGTGGAGTACTTAGAAAGGTGTTAGTAAGTACAGCAATGGCGAGTCGGGATTTGTTTCATAATTCTGATGTATTACAGGATTGGGGCTCTATATGGAAATAGAAGGGAATTGAGTATGAAATATGATTTGAGGAATGGTCCCAAGTCCTGGGGTCCCAAATGCTTTCACTATTTGCTTGCTTTTACTTTCAAATTCCCCACCATGAATATCATTCCTTTGGATAAGGTCCTCTTTCTCATGTAAAAATGACACAAAAAGCTAAGTATAAAGCTTTAAATGAGTAATTTCATGTTTATTTATTATTTTTACTTCTATCTAAAAGGCAAAGTGAGAGAGAGAGAACGATTGATTTTCCATTCCATCTACTACTTCATTTTGCAAATGTCCGCAACAGTCAGACCAAACCAGGAACCTAGAACTCCATTTGGATCTCCCACCTGGGTGCCCAAACACGTGGGCCATCGTCTGTTGCCTCCCAAGATGCACATTAGCAGAAAGTTGGATGGCAAGTGGAACAGCAAGGACTTGAGTGGACCCTCCAATATGGGAGGCAAGTATCCCAGGCTTAACCTGCTATGCCACAATGCCTACCCGTGTAGTTTTTATCACGTAGTCGTGAATGATCATGAAAATGTTTCCCTTGCATCAGACCTAGGACCCTTTGAGACTGGTCCAGAAATTAGATACATGTTTAGATTAAAGCTCAAAAACTGGAGTGGGATAAGGGACCCCATTAAGGAAGACTGACTCAGTTAGGGGAGCAGCTCACCCTGGGATCCGTGAGAGACTTCTGGATGGCAGAGAGTACTACAATAAGGAGAAAGTTGAGCAGCAAAAAACAACTCGATTTCTTTAACAAGCAAGGCTGGCTCACAGATTACACATTCTTTTGAAATAACAATATATAATTCCAGTGGGTGACTGTGGTGTCTTGGTTTGCAAGTGTTGCAATGCAATATTAAGATAATGGGAATTCATAGCCCATTTCAGTAGTAGGGTCAACCCTGACAGCAAATAACAGCCACACACAACCCAGTCTACCTTCCTGGATGGTGGAGTACTTGCAAAACCAATTACTGTAGGCTGTGCTGCAATACAGAATTCAAAAGCTATAACCAATTGTTATAAAAAGAAAATTGAGCCACATGCCACAGTTTTTTTTTTCTTTCCATTAAATCATAGCAGAGTATCTTTGGCCTAATGTCCCCTGTGAGACGGGTTGGGGTGATTTGTGTAGAAATTCTCACTTGACAAGCAGCTGTGAAAGCAAGCTTGCCGGGTTGACAGGCAGAGCAGCGCCCCATCCACCCAATAACTCAGGAACAAAAAGCAAATCAATAGACATAATATTGCAAAACACTGCAGCAGGATAAACACAGCTCTCACATCTATTTGATTTTTCTCCCTCATCTGTCAACACAATTGAGAAGTCGCGCTTGCTAATTGTCTTCAATTGGCAGACTCTGAGACTTTGACTGGAGCTGCGACACTTGGATGTCACAGTCTTTGCCGCTCATGGTCGCCAGCCTGGCAGCCTTGGAAGCGGCCTCCATTTTGGGCGGGCTGCGTTCATCTGCACGACTTCTCTCTGTCTGGATGAGGCACACTCTCCATTATGCAGTTCTTCTCATCATTAGCACCGACTGAAGAATCTGTGCCATGTTCTCTGTATCCAAAATATTTGAGGGAGGCAAAGAATCTCAGGAAGTCAATGAAAATGCGCTTCTATTGCCAGCTCGCATTTGCAACTGCCAGACTTCCTTGCATGCAAATTAGATTACCCAGCAGAGAAAGGACAGAGAAGGGACTGGTTTCAAACTAAGCTTTCTTTTGTGGCTAAATGGCTATGTTTAAAAGAGTACCTGGATTCGCTCCCTAAGAGGTCATGCACCATTGACTCCCTTGTTCACCCTTTGCAAGGTCCTAAAGACATCATCAGATTTTAAGCCCCCCAAAGACGATCACAGTGAGCCCGTCCTCTTCGGTGTACCTGAGCACTGTGCTCAGCAAACAGCTGAGGTTTGACAAATAGTGGCTGTCCTGACCAAGAGGTGTTAGAACTACAGAAAACAAAAGAAGATTGGCCCAGGAGCGCATGGACCTGCAGTTTTCTAGGAGAAGGGTGAGAGCACTGGCTCCCGCTCTCTTTAACACCCTGGAGAGTATCCTGGCACTGTGTAAATGTGTTTGGCAGTGCTTATCCCAACTGTCTTTGCAAGGTCCTAAGAGGTACATCTGTAAGAACTTGACAAAGAATCCAGATAAAACAAGCTTGATAGGTGAACTAGAAGTAGGCAGTCTGGCATCCTCCGTTAGTTGTGTTTGCACTCCACCACTTCACTCGCCAAAGGCCTTCTCCTAACTTCCAGGAGTGCTGCTGGAAATTTCCCTGCTCATGTATGTGCCCCCTTCACATTCCTGAGGTCACAGAGCAGGTAACTTGTTGTTGTTTGGCGAATTGGTGCCTTGAAGCCCCTGCACTCTCAGGACTGCTCCACTTTTCCCAGACCCATTTGCCTCACAACCTCAATCCCTCTCTTTTTCCTTCCATCTCAATCTTTATGAATACACACACACACACACACACACACACTACCTCTTATAGGCAATTCGAAACATACTAGGGAGACACAATGTCTAACTAACAGCCATGTACTCAAAGCCAGCATCAACTAATATCAGCCCATGACTAACTTATTTCACCCACTTGCACCTCTTACACTGATGATATCATTATGAAGCAAAGCCCAGACACCATATCATTTCATTTGCAAATATTTCAAGATCTACCTCTAGGAGGAAATTAAAAATCATCTCCCAGAAATCCCTAAGCCCTCCAGAGAGAGTTTGGCCTCCCTGCTTTGTGCTTTTGTGACACTGTGGCTGTTCCTACATAGAACAAAATTGGTTTGTTTCCTGATCATCTCCCTTGCTGGCTAGTAAAGCCCTGGGAGCATGAGTGGTCAGTGTCCCAGGCAGCTCATTGAATTGCACTGCATTGAAAAGATCAGTCCTGCGGGATCCCAGATGCTCCCTGGTCAGCCCCTGCCAGCGCAGGCACTGAGGGAGGAGTCAGCCCCTTGGAGATAAACTGTCCAGACAGGGCGAGGCAACAAATCACATGTGGTTTATAGACTGCTGGTTCTTATGGGTGGGTTTGTTTGCTTGTTTGTTTTTCAACTAACCACTGTTTTAGTGCCTGGCCCCAAAGGCGGTGGCAATCGCCAGTTCCATTTCCCGCATCCTGCGGTGGACCTCATGTTTTCGCACTTCGGATCCAGGCACTGAATTTTTCTGCCAGAAAACACAGCTTTCGGTTATAAAATTGCAACCACTGAAACTAACCGCTGCCCATTCCCATCTAGATTTCTCAGCTGCAAAAATCATTGTCTTTTTAGGTAGTGTTTGTACATTTTATCAGTAAGCAGCCACCCTGTGCTTTCCATTTTTGATTTTGAAAAAAAAAATAGAGAGGAGGAAAAAAATGGCTTTTATGAGTGTTCAAAGCTTTACATTGCAAATCTGATACCTAGTTGTAATTGTCCTGGTAGTAATTCTCCTTAAGTTTTAATACATGGCAAATGACTTGGCTATAAAATCACAGAGTGAAGAACAATTTTGATACTCCATGTTACAATAATCATTTTACATAATAACCAAGGAGATGAACTGTGGTTTTGTTCTTAAGATTTATAATAGTGTTATTTTGTGAAACAGAAAAGGATGTCTTCAAATGAGATCTATGAGAAATGAAAGAAAAATAGTTTTTTTTTAATCACTGATTATAGACGGTTGTCCACAGGAAATTATGTAGAACACCATGTTGTAGAATGGAAATTATTCAATCTTGTGAGACCCAGGTTCAAGTGGAGAAGGGGCCCAGAGTGGCTCTGTGACCTTGGACATGGCCCCATAAGACCCTGGGTCCAGGGTTGCAAGGTAAAATGCAAGAAGCCAAGTTCCAGTTGAATCCAAGCTAAACAAGTAATACCTTATCAGTATAAAAATATCCCAAATATTGAATCAGATAAATGTAACCTTAAAAATTATTTATTGTGTATCTGAAATTCAAATTGAAATGGGCATTGTATATTTTTATTCACTAAATCTTGCAACTCAACATCAGTTTCAACATCTTCTGAAGCCTGCAGTTCCAGTCCTAACCATTCCTTTATGTTTTCCTTAATCAATTTGCTAATCTGAATTTAATAAATATTTAAATTGTTAAATGCTATTTCTATTTCTGATTAATTTTAAAAGGTGTTTTGAATGTATCACACTCTTTCTGAATATGGAATAATTTCTGGATAAAAATCTCAAAATATTGGGATTTATTATTTCAAAATGAATGCCCCAGGTTATTTCAGAGCTATATAGTTGAAAACAAATAACTAAACCTTTCCTTTTGTAACCATTTCTCCTTAAGTAAACAGCCATATGAGTTTTGTTACCTGTCCCCCTAAGTTCCAAGAGCAGTGAGGAGATTCAAGCTCAATAATTATTAGTAAACATCATCATTACTAAGGGAACAGAAATTCATGGCCAAAGTCTAAAAAAAAAACAGCTCAGCACAACATTAACTATTCTCTATTTGCTATTTAAACCATGAAGCTAATTGTACATTGTTTACTATACCAGTTATATCTCAAATTTAGTAAATTTTAACACTACAAGAACTGTTGACTTTTAAATTTTAATTTTTCTGGTCTTATAGTCCATTCTAAGCTGTTTGCATTAGTGACATTTATAATCAATGATAAATTGTGCCTACATAGAAAATCTTGAGAATTAAATAACAATTAGAACAATATTTCCATAAGGTCTGTTTTGTGGTTCCCCTCTCCCACTATAGAATATGCTTTGTGATTTGCTCTTAATCATAATTTGTATCCTTAGTGTTTGAGCACCTAATGGATTATAGAACAGGTTTTATTTTTTTTTTTGGAAGTATTTATTTCTCACAAAGCTAATGGATACCAAATGTGATTTTCCTAATTCTAAGAAAAATAAAGCTTGTATTGTGTTCATTTAGTGTTATTGGAGAGAACGTTATTGAGACATCCTTGATCTTTGTATTCTAAAGATTCAAAATGGAAATCTAAGCCTCATCAGGACAGGTGGCAAGTAACGGAATCTTTCCCGAATTCTTGGTTTTAATGATATTTTAAATTCTGTCGGTACCCCAGGCAGAGAAGGATAAAAAACAAGCAAAGTACTGATGGTGTATGAGTTAATGAGAGGATAACTGATAAAATTAAACCTTTGCAACCTGCTGAGCTAACCCAAACTTGCTAAGCTACTAGAACATTAATGAGTAAGAGATCTTAATTAAATTGTTTGTAATTAACTCTCCCAAGAGTAAAAAGTGTAAAAGTAGCACAAAGTGAAATACCTGTGGCACTTACATGCAATAGAAAAAGTCATTTTCACACAAATCATATGCAGAGATACAGATAAAATGTATGTATGCATATACGTATATCAGTGCTCTACAAACTCTGGTGATTTCTTTTCTTTTGAAATTCCTCCAAGCTACAATTTTGGAATGTTAATATTAATATCTGTTATATAATGTAAATGATACATCCTGTCTTGTCAGTGACTACTGTGAATCCTAACATGAACTAGGGGTTTCCAATTAAAGGAATAACATTTTCTATCTAAATTTCATGAGATTTAGATCATCTGTAGATTGTAAGACAAATTTACACAACAGAAAGCCCTGGTTAGGAAGGGACTAATGGGTA